CTTCCAAAAGAGGACACAACTAGAAATCAGTGGTTAAGTTGTATTTACAACACTGTTCCAGAACACTTCAACCCAAAAATGCAGATGTGTGCAGCACATTTTATGGAGGACTGTTTCCTGATCCTGGAAGAGTAGCCTACAATGCCGGCTGTGCTCAAAGGCTGTTTTAAAAGACTTCTATAAAGTGGGGCAATCTTTGCGCATATCGCCACCTACTGTGCTATTGTGCAATCAGGATTTTCGGCATTCGGCCAATCACAATGCACTGGATAGCTGGCCAATCAGACCGATGAGCTTTGTAAAAATCCATGTGTTTCAGAAAGGCAGGGCATAGAGGAGAAACAATAATATACAGTATGTGGAAAATAATGTGTTTTTTAAACCTTAAACCGCATAAACACATTGCATTACACCAAATACACAACATAATGTTCTTTTTAGCAGCATCATATGACCCCTTTAATGTAATGGATTATGTTACTAATTTTTGTCATGCAATTTGGAATCAGTAACGGATTACTTGTAAGTAATCTACCCAGCAAAGAGCACATATTGCGAGAGACTGTGCTTTACTAGTCAATGGGTTATTTCTGGAGAAACATACAAGCGTTTAAATACATATGATACTTAATTTTTAGATGATCCCTTTTGTTCGACGCGCCCCCTGCTGCCAGACAATAAAATAACACATTTAAATAAAATTAAATATAACAATAAAATAAAATAAGTGTGGTTTGAAGTATTACAGCAGATTCGCTTGCGACATTGTTTTAACATAATTTACGTTCGTTTTATCTTTCGTCAAAGACGCAACACGGCATGTGAATAAAATGTAAAAGTTAAACTCTAAATTTTAAAATCAGAAACACAGAGTTATTAGTCATGTTTGTTGGTTTGCGGAACAGAAGTGAAATCAGCTGACCGATGTAATGGATTACGTTACTAATTTTTGTCATGCAATTTGGAATCAGTAACGGATTACTTGTAAGTAATCTACCCAGCAAAGAGCACATATTGCGAGAGACTGTGCTTTACTAGTCAATGGGTTATTTCTGGAGAAACATACAAGCGTTTAAATACATATGATACTTAATTTTTAGATGATCCCTTTTGTTCGACGCGCCCCCTGCTGCCAGACAATAAAATAACACATTTAAATAAAATTAAATATAACAATAAAATAAAATAAGTGTGGTTTGAAGTATTACAGCAGATTCGCTTGCGACATTGTTTTAACATAATTTACGTTCGTTTTATCTTTCGTCAAAGACGCAACACGGCATGTGAATAAAATGTAAAAGTTAAACTCTAAATTTTAAAATCAGAAACACAGAGTTATTAGTCATGTTTGTTGGTTTGCGGAACAGAAGTGAAATCAGCTGACCGACGCGACGCTCTCTGGAGGAGCGCCGTTTCAAATCATAGCATGTCCGCTTATCTGTCCGCTTCTGAGCTGGTTCAGATATGGACTTTATGAGGTCTATATAGCAGGTGTACATCGCTTAACTGTGCTTACTGTAAGTACAAATCTGTCGTTTCACGTAGCACTACATTAGCATACAGCACTGTTGTTGTTGTTGTTGTTGTTGTTGTTGTGACAGCACTGACTGCCGAAGGCTAAAGAACATATCACTGGTTATTTATGAAATTATTGCTATTTGTGAGTTTACTCTTTACGGGTTATTGTCGTGATCGATCCAAACATACATGTAAGTTATTATACAGTATTCAGTGGCTCTTACCTGGTTATGCTTGGTCACAGTAAGCTTTCATTTGTTAACGTTACTTAACAATATTAGTTTACATGAGCTATCAATGAACAGTACTTCTAAACCCTTTGTTAATATTAGTGTGAATTGCAATATGTACTAATATATATTTTTTAAAGCAAACATTGTTATAAGTCAATACATTAATTGAATGAACTAACATGAACAAACATTTTACTAGCATTTACAAATATTAATAAATGTTTTAAGAAATATGTACTGTTGGGTCATGCTAGCTAATACATGTTAACAAAATGGGACCTTATTTATTGCACAATGTTACAATGCTTAGTAAAACAACTTTGCATGTCCAGCATGTCCGTCAGTGTCCTTTCTGAAATCTTAAGCTGCTCAAACAGTTACAAACTAAGAAATGTAGTTTTACGTTGTTGATTAAGGCTTCTATTTAGAGCATGTTTTTTTTATGCAACCTGTTTATTAAATCTGCACCAATAACAAGTGTACTGCATGCTCATGAAAGGCTTTTCTTTTCCATTGATCTGTATTTCTATTGATTTGACTTTTGCATACCAGGACATTAAGTAGTCAATGGGAAATGTGTTCAAGGCAAAGCAGTGGCCACTCCAAAGTCAAACATTGATTTTAGATGTGACTACTGAATAGAGCTGCTTTGCATTATCATTCATGCGCACACAACTAGCAAAATAATCCAGCTTTCTTTTTTAAACTTATAACATTCACAGCTTCAGGTTATAATTCTATTGTGTGATGGGGGAATCAAGCCAAGTCTTTTTGTTGTTGTGTTTTAATGTCAGTTAGCTTTAACTGTTCAGTGGCTGAATATTTAGTTCCGCAATTATGTGGTTTGGAATAGTTGTGATATCTTTAGTCAGTGTCCTTTCTGAAATCTTAAGCTGCTCAAACAGTTACAAACTAAGAAATGTAGTTTTACGTTGTTGATTAAGGCTTCTATTTAGAGCATGTTTTTTTTTTATGCAACCTGTTTATTAAATCTGCACCAATAACAAGTGTACTGCATGCTCATGAAAGGCTTTTCTTTTCCATTGATCTGTATTTCTATTGATTTGACTTTTGCATACCAGGACATTAAGTAGTCAATGGGAAATGTGTTCAAGGCAAAGCAGTGGCCACTCCAAAGTCAAACATTGATTTTAGATGTGACTACTGAATAGAGCTGCTTTGCATTATCATTCATGCGCACACAACTAGCAAAATAATCCAGCTTTCTTTTTTAAACTTATAACATTCACAGCTTCAGGTTATAATTCTATTGTGTGATGGGGGAATCAAGCCAAGTCTTTTTGTTGTTGTGTTTTAATGTCAGTTAGCTTTAACTGTTCAGTGGCTGAATATTTAGTTCCGCAATTATGTGGTTTGGAATAGTTGTGATATCTTTCTGACTCGTACAGCTGGTGTATTTCACCCTCATGTGAGCACCCTGTCTTCAGCACTATAGAGCATAGTAGTGTTTTACAGCTGACATAAAAAGCATATTGGACAAAACATTAATAATTCATAATCGTTTTCTCTACATGCGTAATAATACAGATGGTGGCTGTGAATGGTGCAGTAGTTAATTTGAGCTGCTCTGTGAAATTCTCACAGCTATGTATTAAAGTGTCAGATATAACTAATGTTGACTGCATTGACATATTTGAAATCCTCATATTGTTTTTAGCCCCAAGAGATGATACCGAATATAATGACGCAGAAAGGGCACGTTGTGCGTCATTGGTGTGTTCTGGGAGGGCTATTAAATCTGTCCATTTGTCTGCGATCACAGAGCCTGTAGATGCAGCGTCTCCGCAGGGAAGCTTTTGATCAGTGAAGCTCTCAGTGGCGAATTACACCCCACCAAAGCAAGCATGGCCTCTGATATCAACCATCAGGATGGTAAACCAATTTCCTTTTCATTATGTGACACTGATTGCGACCTTTATTTTCTGTGGCTAAGCTTAAAATAAATAAATACATCAATAAAACTGGTAAAAGACAATGCCATAAATAAATTAACAAACAACATACAGTAACGTTTGAAGATTCTTTTTGAAAGACATTGATCAAAAATTATTAAAAAGGATCATGGTTTCCACAAAAATATTTGTTCAGCTGCAAATCCGTATATTAGAATGATTTCTATATGTATGATTGAGAGATTATTATTTGAATTTGTTTTTATTTTTACTGTTTCTCTTTTCATTTTAAAATTCGAATTTTTTGTAATTTTTGTATTTTGTATTTTGTATTTTTTTTATGTGTCTATGTAGTTAACGATAACAACCCTGCACTGAAGTCTGGAGTAATGATGCTTAAAATTCAGCTTTGTCATCACAGGAATAAATTACATTTTACAATATATTAAAATGGAAATCAGTTATTTGAAATTGTAACAATATTTCACAATATTACTGTTTTTACTCAATTTTTGATCAAATAAATGCAGCTTTGAAGAACACAAGACTTTTTTCATAAATGTTTGAAGGGTAGCGTATGTGTTTTTTGTTCATTGTTTGTTCAAGATTATGTGAAAGCTATATTTGTGTGTTGATCCTAGGCCCAGACTTTTCTAGAAGAGATGAGAGCCCTGCTGAAGATGAGCCCATCCATTCACCCGGTTCCCCACGACAGACAGAATATGAACGAATCGGAGGAAGAACAGGATCCTCGTAAGCACTGTGATCACCTTTTAAAACGTTCATGTTCATAGACCTGTTTTTAATTTTGTGTTAATATGTTTTTTGTTTAGGTTTTTTCAGACCTTAATTCATTTACTTAAAGGAAATATTGGTACGGGACTCCTCGGCTTGCCTCTGGCTGTCAAGAATGCAGGACTCGTGGTAGGACAGAAAATTTAATTTGGAGATAAACGCTCATGGTGTTATATTTTTAAATGTTCTGGTCTTGTGTTCTGGTTGCCTTTAATAAAAGCACATCATTGCTTTAAAATGTGTATAGTTGCACGTACGCTGCTCTTTGAGATTTTATCCTGTTGTTGTATGATTGTGGCAGCTGTAGTACATACTTATCTGAACATGATCTACTTATGTCAATATCATGTCAGCCTTTCATTTTCGTTTCTCTCACGTTTCTTGTAAATCTTGTGATTTTTAAAGGGGTTATATGATATTGCTAAAAAGAACATTATTTTGTGTATTTGGTGTAATGAAATGTGTTTTTGCGGTTTGAGGTAAAAAAAACACATTATTGTCTACATACTGTATATTATTGTTTCTCCTCTATGCCCCGCCTTTCTGAAACGCGTATATTTTTACAAAGCTCATCGGTCTGAAAAGCGAGGTGTGCTCTGATTGGCCAGCTATCCAGTGCGTTGTGATTGTCTGAATACCTCAAGCGTGTGACGGAAATGTTACGCCCCTCACCATACTGTCATGCAGTGTCCGGCTGGAGCGATGAGACAAAAACATTAAAACCCATTATAAACGAGGCATTTGTTGCATCCAGTGGGGACATAATTATGGATTATAATGACTTATACTGTCTTTTTACGCGTTGCGTTGCATCGCGCCGCGTAAACATAAAACCATGTCTGCATTTGTGACCGGAGAAATGACAAACAACAAGTGCTACTCTACACTGCCCAAAAAACTTGCTTTAAATAAGTAGTTTCGCTTTCACAACGAAGCACACAGCGTCTTCACGACATGGCGGCGGCGGCAGCAACAATACTACAGCGAGAATAAAAGTTACGCCTTCTTTCTTTGTGTGAACATTTGGGCGGTGTTATGCAGATCTTCCCACATAGTGACGTAGACATGTGGGGGCGTGTTAGAACAAGCCATTTTAGGTAGGCGTGGTTAACTTTTAACTTTTATATTTTAAGAATATCTCTGGATTTGAGACTTTAGTCTTTGCAGCTTTACATATCTTCTTTATGCACCAAGAGCTTGTAACACTCCAAAGAGAAAGGAAAAATTGAAATCGCATCATATGACCCCTTTAAAAACTTGCACACCTAGGACACATTTTGGTTTTTGAAGAGAGAATGCAGTTGTCTGATACAGTTGTCAGGTGATGTAAAGCTCACAGGAGCAGCACATACAGTACATGCATTCATTAATAAAAAGAGAGAAGCTACAGTCAGGGTGCAGAATTAACACTCGCCAAGAACAAGTAATAATTGTTGTGTAAATAAAAATGCTGGCTTGTTGCAGTTTAAGGAAACAAAAAAGGTTAAGTATAACTTTCATTTTTAATTTTAAATAATTGAATATTTCATTATCTCTTCCCAAGATTTTGCTGTTCAAAAGCTTAGTGTTTTTTTTGCTCACCAAGGCTGCATTTGCTTAATCAAAAATACAGTAAATCAGTAATAATATGAAAATATTATTACTATTTAAAATGTATTTTATTCCTGTGATGCAAAGTTGAATTTTCAGCATCATTACTCCAGTCTTCAGCGTCACAGGATCCTTCAGAAATCATTCTAATATGCTGATTTGTTACTCGAGAAACTTTTATTATTATTATCAATGTTGAAAACAGTGTTGTGTTGTGGAAACCATGATACTTTTTTTCCGGAAATCTTTGATGAATAGAAAGTTCAAAAGAACAGCATTTATTTGAAATAGACATATTTAGTGTCATTATAAATGTTTTTATTGTAACTTCAGCTCAAATGAATGTGTCCTCCTTGCTGGATAATGTATTAATTTCTTAGAAAATATCTTACTGACCCCAAACTTTTGAACAGAAGTCAATTTTAAAAAATGTTCTTCCCATTTTATGCACCAAATCAAATCATGACTCTAGTCACATGGAAGAGTAATCGCATACACTTTCTCAACAATCTGCTTTATTTGGGGCCTCTAACAATCTATCAGTTTCCACAAAAATATGAAGCAGCACAACTGTTTTCAACTTTGATAATAATCAGAAATGTTTCTTGAGCAGCAAATCAGCATATTAGAATGATTTCTGAAGATCATGTGACACTGAAGTCTGGCGTAATGATGCTGAAAATTCAGCTTTGATCACAGGAATAAATTATAAATGAGATAATTAGATCAGTTGAAATCAGTAGAAGAGCCATGACCAACGGTGTTAACATGTTGAGTGCCATGTTAAAGCACTCTATTTCAGACTGTTCCTGGTGGGCTGTGTTTGAAAATCATGTTCTTTAAAATACGTTACTCCAATTAATTAAAGTTGTGGTTGATTAGACATGCTTCATCAATGGTTTGATGCTCTCTGTCTCTTCTCATTCTGCAGGTGGGGCCTTTAAGTCTTCTGGCTATGGGTATCGTGGCTGTTCATTGCATGAACCTCCTCGTGAAATGTGCACATCATTTAAGTGCAAAGTAAGAATAAACAGCTTGAATGTTTTTAGAAATGTTGTCCCTCATGTTTTTGACACGTGTTTTTGATACCTAACATCTGTTTTATTTATTTATTTTTATTCTGTCATGGTGAATTTTAGTGTAATTTCCTTTATCATTTGCATTAGGCCTACATAGTTTTAGTGAGATGTTTATTCATCTCTGTCTGTCTGTCTGCCTGCCTTTCTTTCTATCTATCTATCTATCTATCTATCTATCTATCTATCGATCTAGCTAGCTATCTATCTATCTATCGATCTAGCTAGCTATCTATCTATCTATCGATCTAGCTAGCTATCTATCTATCTATCGATCTAGCTAGCTATCTATCTATCTATCGATCTAGCTAGCTATCTATCTATCTATCGATCTAGCTAGCTATCTATCTATCTATCGATCTAGCTAGCTATCTATCTATCTATCGATCTAGCTAGCTATCTATCTATCTATCGATCTAGCTAGCTATCTATCTATCTATCGATCTAGCTAGCTATCTATCTATCTATCGATCTAGCTAGCTATCTATCTATCTATCGATCTAGCTAGCTATCTATCTATCTATCGATCTAGCTAGCTATCTATCTATCTATCGATCTAGCTAGCTATCTATCTATCTATCGATCTAGCTAGCTATCTATCTATCTATCGATCTAGCTAGCTATCTATCTATCTATCGATCTAGCTAGCTATCTATCTATCTATCGATCTAGCTAGCTATCTATCTATCTATCGATCTAGCTAGCTATCTATCTATCTATCGATCTAGCTAGCTATCTATCTATCTATCGATCTAGCTAGCTATCTATCTATCTATCGATCTAGCTAGCTATCTATCTATCTATCGATCTAGCTAGCTATCTATCTATCTATCGATCTAGCTAGCTATCTATCTATCTATCGATCTAGCTAGCTATCTATCTATCTATCGATCTAGCTAGCTATCTATCTATCTATCGATCTAGCTAGCTATCTATCTATCTATCGATCTAGCTAGCTATCTATCTATCTATCGATCTAGCTAGCTATCTATCTATCTATCGATCTAGCTAGCTATCTATCTATCTATCGATCTAGCTAGCTATCTATCTATCTATCGATCTAGCTAGCTATCTATCTATCTATCGATCTAGCTAGCTATCTATCTATCTATCGATCTAGCTAGCTATCTATCTATCTATCGATCTAGCTAGCTATCTATCTATCTATCGATCTAGCTAGCTATCTATCTATCTATCGATCTAGCTAGCTATCTATCTATCTATCGATCTAGCTAGCTATCTATCTATCTATCGATCTAGCTAGCTATCTATCTATCTATCGATCTAGCTAGCTATCTATCTATCTATCGATCTAGCTAGCTATCTATCTATCTATCGATCTAGCTAGCTATCTATCTATCTATCGATCTAGCTAGCTATCTATCTATCTATCGATCTAGCTAGCTATCTATCTATCTATCGATCTAGCTAGCTATCTATCTATCTATCGATCTAGCTAGCTATCTATCTATCTATCGATCTAGCTAGCTATCTATCTATCTATCGATCTAGCTAGCTATCTATCTATCTATCGATCTAGCTAGCTATCTATCTATCTATCGATCTAGCTAGCTATCTATCTATCTATCGATCTAGCTAGCTATCTATCTATCTATCGATCTAGCTAGCTATCTATCTATCTATCGATCTAGCTAGCTATCTATCTATCTATCGATCTAGCTAGCTATCTATCTATCTATCGATCTAGCTAGCTATCTATCTATCTATCGATCTAGCTAGCTATCTATCTATCTATCGATCTAGCTAGCTATCTATCTATCTATCGATCTAGCTAGCTATCTATCTATCTATCGATCTAGCTAGCTATCTATCTATCTATCGATCTAGCTAGCTATCTATCTATCTATCGATCTAGCTAGCTATCTATCTATCTATCGATCTAGCTAGCTATCTATCTATCTATCGATCTAGCTAGCTATCTATCTATCTATCGATCTATCTATCTATCTGTCTGTCTGTCTGTCTGTCTGTCTGTCTGTCTGTCCATTCATCTATTTATTTATTTATTCACCAATGGTCTAGTAATTAAATTTATGTGTTTGATTATTTAGGAACATTTTTAAGTTGGTAAGAATAAATTCTTGTGTTTCTGTCATGCACACAAAAGGTTTATTTATTTATTTTTTAATAAATAAAATATTCTCTATTAAGGATGGGCAAGCCCTTTCTTTCCTATGGAGACGCAGTGGAGTATGGCATGGAGAATGTGTCGTGGCTGAGCAGACACTCTTTGTGGGGAAGGTACAGTAACTGAATGTCTGTGTTTCACTGCTTACAGGGCAGTTTTTAAATTCAGCAGTATGTTAAAGTTGACTTTCTCCTTGTGCTGTTCTCACCACATTCTTTAACCCTTTGTCACCTGATCTCTGTGCAGCATCACTGTTTCACATCTTGCACATGATAGCACACATACATCACCTATGCATCTGTTAATCTGAAGATCTTATTATAAGAGCATTTGCTCATCTGTGATATGAAATGTTCCTTGTCTGATGTTAAAAGCTCATTAGATAATATTATATATTACATGAAACTGCTCTTTTTAAGATGTTTATCAGATGTTTATACGCCATGATTATAGCACAGTTTGGGGTAAAAAAATGTTTTCTTGTTTTTGAATTAAGTCTCTTATGCTCACCAAAGCTGAATTTATTTCATCAAAAATACAATAAAAATGAGAGTATTGTGAAATATTATTGCAATTAAAAAAATATATAAATGAAATTTATTTTTGTAATGACAAAGCTGAATTATCAGTCTTCAGTGTCACATGATCCTCCAGAAATCATTCTAATATGCTTATTTGCTGCTCAAGAAACAATTCTAATTATTATCAATATTATCAATTTTTGTTTAAACTGTTATTTGATGAATAGAAAGTTCAAAAGAACAGCATTTATGCAAAACATTGATGTCTAAATGGCTGGATTTGTGACATTTAGATTATTGTGAAATTACAAAAATAGTAGTTTGACCTGTACCTGAACGTTGATTTGTGTTTGTTTTTATATTTTTTGGCTTTCAGGCGTGTGGTGAATATGTTCCTCAACATAACGCAGCTGGGCTTCTGCTGCGTTTACTTTGTGTTCCTCAGCGACAATGTCAAACAGGTAAGAGAGCTTTAAATACAGAAGAAGAGACATTTTTCAGATTTCAGTAAAGGTTTTTCACACATTCATATAATACTCTTCAGAATCACACAAAGCATAATGTCCTTTATTTTCATTTTTAAAAATAAGAATCCAGAGAAAACGGTAGTGTTCGTGTAGGCCAACTGGTAGAACATGATACTATTTGCTAGATTTAATTCACAGTGAACTTGTAAACTTTAAAAACAATATATGTTCCTTTTAGATAAAAGCTTTTGTAAATGCAACAGAAATACTGTGAGCAAATTTCTTTACTCACCACAAGAGGGCAGCATTGTGCTTCAGTTCTCTTGATTAAATAACCTCCCAAGTTTGCTTCCCCCAACAAAAAGATGTTCTTACTTTCTATAATTTGAAAGTTCTTTTAATTTAAAGTTCTCTGTCAGGTTGTTAAAGGAGCATTGTTACTGTCATCAAAGAATCTTTCCATTTGCTTGCATATTGTAGGTGGTTGAGACGGCAAACGGGACGACCATGAACTGTCACAACAACGAAACCGCAGTGATTGTCCCCAGCTACGACTCTCGCCTCTACATGCTCTTCTTCCTGCCCTTTATGATCGTGTTGGTGTTTATCCGCAACCTCAAGTACTTGGCTCCTCTGTCGTTTGTAGCAAACATTTCCATGTGTATCAGCCTGATCCTCATTTACTACCACTGTCTGACGGTAAGACACATTAAACACACAACACACAACACACACTTAATATGGTGAAAGTGTTTCAGTGTATGGCCTGAATTTCTTACAAGTTACGTTTCATATATTGTATCATTCTTTATAGTGATTAGTGTCACGTATGATACTGTAGCCTAGTGCTGGGCGGTATACCGGTTCATACCGAATACCGGTGTTTATATTTGTTATGATATTAATTTTTTTAATACCGCAATACCGGTGTATGTCGCTTAAACAACGTTCGGAACGTGACACTCTTTGAAAGGGGTCCCTTTTCACTGCTGCACTGTGGTGAGGGAACAGCTGTATGTGTTACTAAACGTGAAAGTTCAGAAACTGAAGCTGTAGAACTAATAGAACGTGATGACACAGAAGAACTCATCCACAATATCCACATTGACCACCACAAATATCCACCGCCCCCTGCTATCAGCTCCCGCGTCTCTCACACACACACACGAGCGCGACTTTAGCACTAGATTTAGCAACTTTCAGACCCTTTTAGCGGCTTTTTTCCATAGAATATTCATACTGACAAACCTAGCGACTTTTTTTGGATAAACCTTAGCTATGGTTCAGTTTGAAGACTTCGCCAGTGCTGTCCCGTGAACGCGAGGCCTGACTTTCCCGGAGAAGTGTCACCTCTCTCGGCGTCTGTTCTGTGCAGTGAGTGGCAGAGAAGCAGCGCATTCAGTTGTGCGTACCACAGCCGACTCGTCAATAAATGAGTACAAAACAGTGTTTCCTAGCACCTGTAGCTTACTGATTGTTTGGAATTATAAACATGAGCGTAGTTCATCTGTTAATATCACATGCACTTTTTTTTGTTTGTTGTTTTTTTTAGATTGTTACTCAGATGCAGGCAGTGCGCTGCATGAGACAAAAAAGTCATACAGCCAAAACAATATGGCTATGATTATGTCTAGTCATCAGCTATATTTTTATCCTGTTGTTTTATGTTCAAGACTTTTTAATGCAGGGTACACTTTAAATCCATAACGGTCAGTAGCCTAAGCTAAAAAAAAATAAATAAAATAACTGCACTGACAACGGAAATTACAAGGTAGCAGCCTAAATATTTGGGTGGTGTAATATTATAATACAGTGTCATTAATAAATATATTAAGATAACCCATGCTATTTAAATGACTAAAATAGCCTATAGACAATAATGAGCAATAATAGCCTAATTCACCACACTGCATAGGATGATGCGATGACAAATTCAAACGCTCAGCTTCACCTAAATATTTATTAATTTGTTTAGGTATATCATTTATAATTTGAATACGAGAACAACACCATTAAACTTTGGGTAATCAAAAAATGGTTTTATTCATTACAGCATATAGATCTGATTTTGTTATTTTTTTCAGGAAACGGCCAGACTAGAATAGCAACACAGTAGCGAACAATAAACGATATGGCAAGATAAAAATGAAATGATTAAACCAAAGTTTTTGGTTTTTGAACGTGAAACTAAAACATGTAAATTTGATATCTGGATCACTGTCAGATGAGCCGTCAGATGCTGAGCCGACCCAGGACGCATAAATTACCATCAGACTCTCCATCACTCATGGCATTTAATGTTTCTAATACCTACCTTCCAGAAATCGCGACTTTATTTATGAAACTGATGACAGCTAAATCAGTGAGTGAAAGGCGTTGCCTAGAAATGTACAATGTTAAAACATAAGCGGTAAGAAAATGACAGCACCAAAATACATGCATTATATAGCGGGTAAATTTGACCCGCTTGCGCTTATAGGTATAAATGCCCCGTTTTTTGATCTGGTTTTATCTAAATAATTTTTAACAACATTGGATTGTAGATTACATAATTATATATATATATATAAATATAACACTATATATGCATTAGATAACAAAATATTAAACACATTTTTGTTTATTTTGAACGCATATATAGCACAGATACACTTTTCAAACAGAATGTTTAAAAAGGTTTGAAATAGATACTTTGCTCCAAGCAATCCTCAGGAACAAGACCTCTGCCCGGGCTGCTGATTGAGTCTCAGATGTTATGGATGAAGAGTTAAGTTTCAATGACAGGTTTCAGGGTTGTTTTTTAGCTTTAAATGCTTTTATCAGACCCTCCGCCTGTAGTCAGCAGTGCAGCTACTGAGAAACAAGCAAGAAGGTTACAGAATTTTTCAGTGAGGAAAGAAAATGTGTCTTGGTGGAAACAGCAAGGGGAAGCTGGCTCGAGATTGCAAATTGGTTTGTTGTTTGGAAAACATTTTTTGTAAAGAGTCAAGGGTTTCAAAAATGCTTACAGAGCTGCCAAAGTACATAAAATGTTTCCTCGAAATGCATCAGAATGTCATACAATCACTGTAAATGTATGCTGTGAATTGTATTCATGATTTCATTTGTATAACATTTGTGCTCCAAAAATTATTTAAAAATCTGATTCATGCAATGTGTCCGAAAAGTCTGAGACTTTGTAAATATAACATTTCTATTATATAATCATTTTTATCACAAAATTTGACAGATGTAAATAAAAAATATTTACAATGTGTAATTAATACGAAATATTTAATATAATGACTGTTTAACTATACCTATTACCTATAACTATTAATTATAACTATTATTAAGTTTGGGGTCAGTAAGATTTAATTTTTTTGTAAGAAATTACAACTTTTAAGGATGCATTAAATTTATCAAATGACAATAAAGACTTTGCATAATTTTATAAATATTTCTATTTCAAATAAATGCTGTTTTATTCATCAAGTTTCTATTCATCAATCAATCCTGAAAAAAAAAAGTTTCATGGTTTACAGAAGAATATGAAAGCACACAATTGTTTTCAACATTGATAATAATTGATAATAAATTAAAATGTTTCTTGAGCAGCAAATCAGCATATTCAAATGATTTCTGAAGGAACGTGACACTGAAGACTGGCGTAATGCTGAAAATTCAGCATTGCATCATAGGAATAAATTATATTTTCAAATATATTCAAATAGAAAACAGTTGTTTTAAACAACAATAATATTTCACAATTTGTACTGTAATTTTGATCAAGTAAATGCAACAGAAAAAAGAGAAAACGTTAAATAGAAGCATTTTCATCGTCTCAGGCTTTGGAGTTCACTATATATTCATGCAACCTTTTTTTTTTTTTTATATATTCTAAGAAAATGACAGCACCAAAATACATGCATTATATAGCGGGTAAATTTGACCCGCTTGCGCTTATAGGTATAAATGCCCCGTTTTTTGATCTGGTTTTATCTAAATAATTTTTAACAACATTGGATTGTAGATTACATAATTTTAGTAAAAGTCAATGACTGGGAGACGTTCTTTCTTAAGTCTCCCAGTCTTAAAAGTCTAAAAGTCTTATTATTGACTTTTAATAAATAATAAAATCTTTTAAAATAATAAAAATCTTTTATGTGCATTTGAAAAACAGCCACGGGTAAAATTTACCCCGTGGCGTTTCTAGTGTTAAGCCACACTATATGTGACCCTGGACCACAAAACCAGTCATTTTTAGTCATTTCTGAATAAATAAGCTTTCCATTGATGTATGGTTTGTTAGGATAGGACAACATTTGACCGAGATACAACTATTTGAAAATCTGGAATCTGAGGGTGCAAAAAAATCTAAATATTGAGAAAATCATCTTTAAAGTTGTCCAAATGAAGTTCTTAGCAATGCATATTACTAATCAAAAATTAATTAATAACAAAAAAGTTTTTAGTAGGGTAAGTGATAAAAGTGCACAATAATAAACACTGTAATAATATTTATAGTGTATATATATATATAAAAAATTTTTTTTATGCCAAATCTATTCACAGCCTAGCTTTTCAATATTTAAAAACAAAAAAAAAAACGTTTTTTTTTTATGTTTATTTGTTTCTAAGTTGATTTCAGATTCTCAGTTTTAGGCTTTTTCACTTCAGGCGAATACAAAGAAAGCATTTTGAACAGGTCACTGAGCCCAGGTGACAAAAAAGCTGTAAAAGCTGTAAAATACTAAGGAACTGGGAACAGACCCAAATACACCCATTGACATCACTGTTTCCTGCTGACAAACTCCGGTGCAAAGGAGAAGCTGTGGACTCTATGCAAAATTGCAGAAGTGTCAGTCTTGTGTTGCTATTACAGTTTAGTGATTGATGTGTCACTCCAGAGACAAATGCTCTTTCAGAATCAGAATCAGAAAGAGCTTTATTGCCAGGTATGTTTACACATACAAGGAATTAGTTTTGGTCACAGAAGCTTCCACAGCACAAACAGAATGACACTGACAATACAAGACACAGATGATAAAAATAATAAAAATAGGATAAGCAAATAGAAAGAAATAATATACAGAAAAAAAAAATACACAATATACAAAGTAGGCAATAGATGGTATTTGTGTGTACAGGTGTGTTATGTACAAATGCAAGGAAATGTAAAAAGAGGTACACTGCCGTTCAAAAGTTTGGAATCAGTAAGAGTTGTGATGTTTTTTAAAGAAGTCTCTTCTGCTCATCAAGGCTGCATTTATTTGATCAAAAATACAGAAAAAAACAGTACTCTTGCCAAATGTTATTACAATATAAAATAATGGTTTCTATTTTAATATCCTATAGAAATATAATTTATTTCTGTGATGCAAAGCTGAATTTCCATCAGCCATTACTCCAGTATAAAGTGTCACATGATCCTTCAGAAATCATTCTAATATGCTGATTTATTATTAGAATTATCAATGTTGGCAACAGTTGTGCTGCCAAATATTTTTTTGGGAAACTGTGATACTTTTTCAGGATTCTTTGATGAATAAAAAGTTAAAAAGACAGCATTTATTCAAAATATAAATCTTTTCTAACAATATAAATCTTTGCTATCACTTCTTATCAATTTAACACATCCTTGCTGAATAAAAGTTTTAATTTCTTTCAAAAAAAGAAAGAATAAAAATTTACTGACCCCACACTTTTGAACTGTAGTGTATATTGTTAGAAAAGATTCATATTTTAAATAAATGCTCTTCTTTTTAACTTTTTCTTCATCAAAGAATCCTGAAAAAAAGTATCGCAGGTTCCAAAAAAAATATTAAGCAGCACAACAGTTTCTAGCACTGATAATAAGTCAGCATATTAGAATGATTTCTGAAGGATCATGTGACACTGAAGACTGGAGTAATGACGTGGACAATTCAGCTTTGCATCACTGGAATAAATTAGATTTTAATGTATATTAAAATAGAAAAACGTTATTTTACATTATAATAATATTTCACAATATTAAATTTTTTCCTGTATTTTTGATCAAATAAATGCAGCCTTGATGAGCATAAGAAACCCCTGTAAAAAAAAATTTGTTCTGATCCCAAACTTTTGACCGGTAGTGTATGTGTGTTAAATAAATCAATGTATAGATAGTGTTGTGTATTACACGTTTATTCCCAAGTTAACTGTTCATGAGATGGATTGCCTGAGGGAAGAAATTGTTCTTATGCCTGGCCGTTCTGGTGCTCAGTTCTCTGTAGCGCCAACCAGATGGCAACATTTCAAAGAGGAAGTGTGCTGGATGTGAGGGGTCCAGAATGATTCTGACAGCTCTTTTGCTCCCTCTGGATGAGTGCAGTTCTTGGAGAGTGGGGAGGGTTGTACCAGTGATTCGCTCAGCAGTCCGGACTCTCCGCTTCAGTCTTCTTAGGTCTGATTTGGTAGCTGAGCTGAACCAGACAGTTATAGAAGTGCAGAGGACAGATTTAGTGACTGCAGATTAGAGCTCAAAATTTGATTAGTTCAAATTACTCACGATTCGGTTTGTATCACAGTTAAGTCACCGTTTCGGTACGGTTATTGCTATGTTTAGGGAAAAAAGGACTATACTGTCAAAGAAAAATAAGAACAAATAATCTAACTACAAGCAACACCACAAATAAATACAATAGAGCAAAGATACAAATAAAATGAAAGTTTTTTTTAGGTAGGTCTAACATTAGTTTTTAGGTACAGAAATTGAAGTAATCAAAAGTAAAATAACATTGCATATTTGACTGTATATATGAAAGATTAATCCTTATTAAAGTTACAATCAAGATCCTATCAAGAGCATGCAGTGAGTGATTTCCTTGTCTTTTGTTGTTTGATTAACATTTAAAAACTTTAAGACAATGCACGGATCCAGTACACTGATACTGTACGTTCTGCTGACTGTGTCTGCTAGGATACTTGCCAAGACAGGCATGTTATAATTTTTGTGTGAATTTGTCCGTTCAAGCACAAGACTCTATATTTGCACGCTCTCTGAGACACGAGTTTGGCGCTTCAGATGAGCACACAGACACATCTTCCCACTGTATGCGCGACTACTCATTTGCATCTGGCTCTTGATTGTTTAAACTGGCAAGGCTTAATGAGTTTAGTTTAAACACAGATAGCAATGTGTGCTGTTCAGGTCTCACCTGTGCACATGTGCTATCAACACCCGGGGGATGACGGCATAACTGACTGAAGTCCACTATCATCTCCACTGTTTTGAGCGTGTTCGGCTCCAGGTTGTTTTCACTGCACCAGACAGCCAGCTCTTTAACCTGCCACAGGTCTCTAATCATTTAGCCCTGTAATTTTGGTTTTCTTTGGGATGAGGATGATAGTGGAGCGTTTGAAGCAGGCAGGGACTTCGCACAGCTCCAGTGATCTGTTGAAGATCTGTGTGAAGATGGGGGCCAGCTGGTCAGCACAGGTTTTCAGACAGGCTGGTGTAACACCGTCTGGGCCTGGTGCTTTCCTTCTCTTCTGTTTCCGGAAGACCTGACACACATTTTTTCGCAGACCTGAAGTGCAGGAGGGGGGAGAGGGGGGTTGCTGGAGGTGTTAATCGATCCATGGAGAGAAGGTCAGAATGGGTGTGAGGTATGAGACAGGGTTTTTCAAATCTGCAATAAAACTCATTCAAATCGTCGGCCAGTTGTTGATTCTCTACAGTGATGGGGTATGGTGTCTTGTGCTTTGCGATGTCTTTCGGTCCTTTCCATACTGATGCAGGGCCATTGGCAGAAAACTGGTTTTCCAGCTTTTTGGAGTAGCTTCTCTTAGCCACGCTGATCTCCTTTGTCAGTGTGTTTTTGGCCTGTTTATACAAGATTCTGACCCCACTCCTTTTGCTGTGTACCATGGCTTGTCACTAGCTGTGTTTCCATTACCCTTCAAATTGCGCAAATTAAAATTGCGAATTGAAAATACGGCTAATGGAAACGCGTCAATTTCGAAAAAATTCCCATATATCGCAATAAAGTTTTTACGCTCGCATAGGAATATTTCGCAAAATTGCATTGGAAACGTTTTATTTGCATTTAAAGGTCACATGGCATACGTAAAAATTCATATGATCATTCCTCAATGTAATATAACCTCCAAGAAACACTTTATATGTGGCTGCTCTCAAGTATAAGGCCTGCCATTCCCTGCCATTAATTCTTAGACTATTTACACTGCACACGTCTGCGGCGCGTTACGGCTCCAAAACGGCCACCGGAGCAGATCGCGGCCACTCTAGTCAACGCTTGTGTTACCATTCGCGCCACGGCACGTCCCAGAAGCTGCTCTCCGCGCTGCTTCTGTCAAGATACATGCATACGCCTCCTTCGATTAAATATAATGGCTAGTGTAGCCAAAATCCATTGCCATGACTTATCGCGAGAGGAAAAAATTAAGTTTTAGTCGCATAACATCGGTTAATGGAAACGCCGTCATTTCGCCATACTTTTTTTTACCGACATTTATAAAATATCGCCAAAGTTTTGCACAAATCTGTAATGGAAACGTGCCTATTGTTGTATGTTAAATAAGTCCTGGTACGAATATACATATCCTCACTGAAACAGATGTATGATGTTACAGTTTCTGTGAATTCATCCATATTGGTGGCAGCAGCTTCAAAAACACTCCAGTCAGTCCAGTCGAAGCAGGCTTGAAAGACCAGGGGCCAGTTGCATAAACATAGCCACTATGTTAAGACTGTGTCTAGTTTCATCAACTAATAGCTAGCCAAGAGGTAATCAGACTTACTTTTTGGATTCAAATTAGACCATTCTCCCTTTTTATAACTGACTTTAAAATGTTATGACCAGTCTTAAAGAATACAAATTTGATGATTCACTTTTTAAGACTAGTCTAAGCAGTTTATATTCTGTGATCAGTTCGATATCAGTGGTTGCAGAAAAAAAAAAAACGTGTCTAATGTCTGTCTGTTCTATAGGTTATATCAGGCCGTGAAGCTGCTTTACTCTTTTGGGATCTACATCACGTATGCGCTGCAGTTCTACGTGTCAGCAGAGATCCTGATCCCACCAGCGGTGGCGTGCTGCGGTCCCAGATGGGCATTGATGGTGGACCTCAGCATCCGCGTGGCTCTCGTAGGCCTCACATGTAAGTCGTGCTGCAACAAAACACCTTAAAACAACCAAAAACCTCTTCACTCCAGCAGTCTTTCAGCTAAAACCATCAGCCGTTGAGCCGCTTGCGTCAAAAGTCAGGAGCGTTTTCAATGGCTCATTTGCTTCTGCACGTGTGGAATTGTGGCTCAAGATTGTTCAGCCACTTCACAGAACATTTGTCATTGTTAGAAGTCTATTTTTACCTTTTGTCACTTTTTCTGAAATAAGCCGGACCTTGAACACAACTGCTAAGGTTTTCCGCATGTGACTCAGCCGTGCGATAGATGTTCAGATGGGGTGCTGGAAATAAGGTTTGTGTTTTGGTTGCACGAAGTAGGTGGGTCGCATAGTGTGGTTGGATAGTGAACATGAATGTGTGCCTCTTTATCTGTAAATGAAGGAAATCATGCCTTCTCTTTTTAAAAATTGTCATGAATGGCACATGTGCTCAACCAGATCACTCTACTTACAGCACAACAGCCTTTTCCTAGGCGTTTAAATATATTTTTAGAAATATCAAAGGTTAGTCCTTTGTTTTTAGTGGTTGTATTGATTTCCCTTCAAAGTGAGGTTGTTAAACCCCGTTTGAGACATGAGCAGCAGCTGATAGTGTTTTCTTCACTAGGAGGCAGTCTTGAGCACTCCTTCATCTTGTTAACACAGATCCCACTTACATGAGCAGCCTATTAATCTTAATATACTTTACTTAATCTCAGGTGTCACATGAGGAACAAACATGTAGATTACATACTAATGCATGTTACTGCTAGGATTAATTTTCATAATTCATCATTTACCCAATATTTCTTTACACCACTTTTCTGTCTTAAAGTTTTGAGTAAAACTTCTGTCAAGAACATATAATAATATATTTAAAAAATATGAAAACATGCACAAATCATTTAGATGGTAGAATTATATTCATATGATTCTCATACTCACCAAGGCTGCATTTGTTTGATTTAAATTATAGTAAAAACAGTAATACTGTGACATATTGTTGCAATTTAAAACAACGGTTTTCTATTTTTAGAAATAGGTTTTAAAATATAACTTATTACTGTCAAGGCTAAGCTGAATTATATAGAATATAAAAATAAAAAAGGTATTTTTTCCTCACAATTCTGAGTTTGTCTCACAACTCTCACAATTAATTATTTTTTTCTCAGAATTTTGAGATGTAAACTCTATCTTTATGTATATCTCAGCCACTTCACAGAACATTTGTCATTGTTAGAAGTCTATTTTTACCTTTTGTCACTTTTTCTGAAATAAGCCGGACCTTGAACACAACTGCTAAGGTTTTCCGCATGTGACTCAGCCGTGCGATAGATGTTCAGATGGGGTGCTGGAAATAAGGTTTGTGTTTTGGTTGCACGAAGTAGGTGGGTCGCATAGTGTGGTTGGATAGTGAACATGAATGTGTGCCTCTTTATCTGTAAATGAAGGAAATCATGCCTTCTCTTTTTAAAAATTGTCGTGAATGGCACATGTGCTCAACCAGATCACTCTACTTACAGCACAACAGCCTTTTCCTAGGCGTTTAAATATATTTTTAGAAATATCAAAGGTTAGTCCTTTGTTTTTAGTGGTTGTATTGATTTCCCTTCAAACGTGAGGTTGTTAAACCCCGTTTGAGACATGAGCAGCAGCTGATAGTGTTTTCTTCACTAGGAGGCAGTCTTGAGCACTCCTTCATCTTGTTAACACAGATCCCACTTACATGAGCAGCCTATTAATCTTAATATACTTTACTTAATCTCAGGTGTCACATGAGGAACAAACATGTAGATTACATACTAATGCATGTTACTGCTAGGATTAATTTTCATAATTCATCATTTACCCAATATTTCTTTACACCACTTTTCTGTCTTAAAGTTTTGAGTAAAACTTCTGTCAAGAACATATAATAATATATTTAAAAAATATGAAAACATGCACAAATCATTTAGATGGTAGAATTATATTCATATGATTCTCATACTCACCAAGGCTGCATTTGTTTGATTTAAATTATAGTAAAAACAGTAATACTGTGACATATTGTTGCAATTTAAAACAACGGTTTTCTATTTTTAGAAATAGGTTTTAAAATATAACTTATTACTGTCAAGGCTAAGCTGAATTATATAGAATATAAAAATAAAAAAGGTATTTTTTCCTCACAATTCTGAGTTTGTCTCACAACTCTCACAATTAATTATTTTTTTCTCAGAATTTTGAGATGTAAACTCTATCTTTATGTATATCTCACAATTCTAACTTTTTTTGTCAAAATTCTGAGAAAATATGTCAGATTTGCAACAAAAAAAATCCGAATTCTGAGATAAAAGTCTCCATTACCTTTTTTTTTTTGTGTGTGTGTGGCAAAAATAGAATAGAATTTCTCCGGTCTTTCGCATCACTGTAATCATGGTAAAACCCAAAGTTTTGAACAAAAGTGCAATTTTTACATATTTTATTTATTATTTTGTTCGATTTTTGGGGTAAAATATGACCCAAACGTGTTCTTGACAGGTTTCGGGAAATTTACTTTTGTACTTCTATTATCTGATAATGTGTAGCATGCCTGGCAAAATATTTGTTAATGGTTTGAAAAGCACTGTATGAAGAACTAGAGAAATCAATATGCTCCTAGTGTTTCTGTGTTGTTGCTTGTGTCAATCTAGTAGCTTTGAACTGGTTTAAGCAGAAACATTAAAGCAGTATTCGCAGGGACCATTTCAGCGGTCATGTTAATGGATTTCAAGCGTGGAGGGAAAATTGTCAGCATTGTGGTGTTGGCATGGAGTCGGATGTGCAGCTGCGAGATTATATTTGGTTATTAGTTAAATTGAGCATTGTAAACATTGTTTTTTTGCAATCTCCCGTGTGATACTGTCACTGGCGACATGGGCAGCAGGGGCCTTTCGAGTTAAAATCGCCCAAGGCATTGTGCTTGATGTTTTTATTTGGCTTTTTGAGAATAGAAGTGAATGAAAATGTCATGTGATGCATTAGCTGTGATGTGATGTGAAATGTAATGCATGTTTATCTCCTGAATGTTTTTTTCATACATGACCCAGTGTGAACACGTGTGATATTAGTGGATATTACTAAAGGACAATAACATAAATCCCACACCTTGAACAACTTGAGGGTGAGTAAATGATGACCGAATTTTCATTTTTGGGTAAGTTTGTGTGCAGCTCTTTTTCCTTATTATCAGTTACTGGGTGTAAGGCTTGATTGTGGGTTGGTCAGCTTTCTGAATATTAATCACACTGATTCACACGGGATGAGTCTCTGAGGTGAAGATGCCATCAAAGCACCTTCACAGTTCATCACACTTTATGTCGGGCAGTTACAAATGGGCATGTCCAGGAGTGCCTAATCAAAGCTTGTGCCGACCGCAATCTGTTGTCATTTCCTCAGAATGATACTTTGACAGAGTGCTGGACGCTCCTCTAATCATTTAGTTCAGACGGTCTTCAGCTACCAGTCATTTTTAGCCATTCTTCACGCCCTCCATTTGAATGTCACTGACTTCGGGTCAAAATTGTGCATACAATTTGTATTTGTATAGTATAATTGTCATTGTGATTTTATTTATTTTGTTTTTAAAAGCGAATTATATAAAAAATTTAGTACCATTCAAAAGTTTGTTGTCAGTATGATTTAAAATAATTTTTTTTTAGAAAGAATACTTATATTCAGCAAGGATGCATTCAATTGATCAAAAGTGACATTTATAATCTTACAAAAGATTAATCTAAGAATCCCAGTAGCCCCTTACTGCAGAACACAAGATCCAGGGGGCGTGGTTGGATCCACATCTAGGGAGTGGAGATTGGTAGGTTTAGGGGTGGAAATGGATCGGTTTAGGGGTGGAAATGAGTGGGTTTAGGGATCAGGGGGTGGAGACGGGTAGGTTTAGGTATATGTAAGATGGGATGAGTTGGATCGGGATCCAACCATGCCCCCTGGATCTTGTGTTCTGCAGTGAGGACCATCTCAAGAATCCTAAAAAATGTATCACAGTTTCCACAAAAATAACTGTTTGCAATGGTGATAATAATCAGAAATGTTTCTTGAGCAGCATATTATGATTTCTGAAAGATCATGTGACATTGAAGACTGGAGTAATGATGCTGAAAATACTTTCTTAAATCTTTCTGCCTCCACCTAAGCTCCGCCCACAGAAAAACGTCACAATGTTACTAACAGAAAAAGGGTCTATACATTGACACAATTATTAGTATGCACATTTTGTCTTGTTTTAAGGATGTTTACATAATTTTACTGGAAAAAAGGATAAAAATCCTGAAATTAAATAACAAAATAATTGTTATATTTTTGTGTGTGTAATATGTGCCGTATCTTAAAGGTCCCATATTGTCAAAACTGAAATTTCCTGGCTTTTTTCATGATAACTGAGGTCTAGGGGCTATTTAACTACCATATAAGTTTCAAAACAGTCGGTCCACAGTAAAATTCATACAGCCTGCATAAAGTAGCTGTGATTTTTCACGAACCGTTGTGACTTCCGTAAAAAGTTGACATCAGAACTACACAGTCACCGCCTTAAGTCACCACCCCGAGCACCGCCCACCGTCCCACTCTCCTTTTGCCAACCCCCCAGACAACATTGTTTAACCACAGCTGTCGTCGGTTTTTTTGTCTGGCAGTGGCAGCAGATATGCAATCAAATTTCAAATTTCAGGCTGTATTACGTCGATTCTGGCACCCAACATCACAATAAGATGATATTTTAAGATCCTTATGTAGCTGAATCTGCGCTGGTTTGAATGGGCCACCTCCAGTTTCCCCTTTGTTTTGCTGCTACCAGCTAGCGCTGTGACGTCGGCTGACCCTAGTTACCTGTGGTTGGCCTGGCCATGCGTCACTCAGAAAACAACAGGCCAATCAGTAGAGAGGCTCATGAATATTAATTAGACAGGCCAAAATCAACCTGTTCTCAGCAGAGCTCCTGAGAAAGGAGCTGTAAAA